CGGCTCACCAGGCATTGCGATTGATAGGTGACGTGATGTACTTTAACATCTTGGGAAAGTCTCTCGTCGTGCTTAGTAGTCAAGAAGCCGCCTCCGATCTGCTAGAAAAGCGAAGTGCGATTTATAGCAGCCGTCCGCCCTCTACCATCCACGAGATGTATGTCTTGTATCGCATTTAATAATCGCTGACCATGCATACTATATATGATAGGATTGGGTGGGCAGACATGCTCGGATTTCTGTCATATGGAGAGCAGTTTCACCAGCAGCGCAAGTTCTTCCAACAAGGCTTCACAAGGCAAGGCTGCTTCGTGTTCCGCCCGAGCCAGCTCTCGCAAACTCATGTGCTCCTGAAGAAGATTCTGCAAGACCCAAAACATTTCTATGATCACGTGCGGCAGTATGAGTTTAACGAAGCGAAACCCATTTATCTGGAGGTTTAACTATGCATCACAGGTTCTCCGCTGCAGTTATTATGGAGATAACATACGGGCACAAGGTCACCTCAGATGATGATCCTTACATCAACATAGCAGAAGGAATGGCCAGGATCCTCACGGAAGCAGGCCATACCCTGTCTATCATTGATTTCTTTCCTTGGCGTCCGTGTATTTCTGATCATAATCTTGACGGTACACTAACAGTCTGCAGTAAGATATCTGCCGAGCTGGTTTCCAGGAAACTGGTTTGGTCCCCTCGCAGAAAGTGCATTGCCCTTGGCAAGCTCCACGTCCTGTTTCTCATGCATATATTTTAGATGCGGCGCCGTTTATTAAGCATATGCGTAACATGCCTTTCGAGCAAGTGCGCCAACAGATGGTATGTGTCTCACTGAACCTGCCACCTCACGTAATGCATTGAGCGTAGTGCATAGGCTGCTGGCAATGCTGCCCCAAGTTTTATGTCGATGCAGATCGAGGAGCTGGAACAAAGTGGGGGAGCAAGCCTCGAAGACTTACACACCTTGAAAGTTGCCTCATCGCAGATGTATGCTGCTGGTGCGGATACAGTGCGTATCTTTCAGGATTTGGGGTTTGGTATTGACCTCGGTCGCAGACATGGTCCGCAATTATGAATGCCATTGCGGTGCTATATCTCTATCCCAAGGCGCAGCGCAAAGCGCAGAACGAGCTGGACAAGGTTCTTGGTGGCAAGAGACTACCTGACTTTGAGGATCGTGAATCCCTTCCTGAACTCGAGGCGATCCTTCAGGAAACAGCTAGGTGGCGCCCTACAACCGCATTCGGTGTGTCGAGGTCTAGCCAACACCTTTGTCAGATGGGCTGATTACGGTTCGCGCCAGGTTTGCCGCATAGCAGCATCGCTGACGACGTCTATCGCGGTATGTTCATACCCAAGGGCACTACTGTCCTCGCCAATGGCACGTGCGTCTCCTAGCCCTCAAAGAATCCATCCGCATATACTTGATTCACTGCGGTTGTTTTTCCCATAGTGCGATGTCCATGGACGATAAGGTGTACGACAACCCCGCCGAGTTCCGACCAGAACGCTTCCTCCCGCCCCAATCTGAGCCGCTACCTGTGAATATTAGTTTCGGCTGGGGACGCAGGTGATACTTGCACAATATTTCTTGGAATCGCAAGTTGATACACTGTCCACTAGAATGTGCCCGGGACGACATCTGGCCAATGCGAGCGTTTGGATAGTCATTGCATCGCTTCTTGCCGCCTTCGAAATTGTGCCGGCAAAGGACGACAAAGGACAAGACGTCATCCACGAGATAAAGTGGCTTCCTGGTATCACGAGGTTAGAACCCCGCTATCGTTGTGTCCGAAGACGGGTTCCACGAGTGCTGATGCATATTCAAACCTTATGACAGCCATCCAGCGCCATTCCCATGCATGATACGGCCGCGTTCAAGCAATGCAGCGCAACTGATCGCTCGGCTCTGATCGTACGTCGGCGGCCGGATGAGCACCTTGCCACGGTGCCATTCATTCGAGCCGTGGCCATTATTAGCTTAGCCTAAATTAGGTCGACTACGCTCCATGTGAGGTTCTAAGCACTTCTAAAATTATAAGATACCGGCTTGTATCTATCCCATACCGATATACTGCGAAACTAGCCCCCGGCCTTTCAAATTTCAAGTACCAACCGCGTGACATCACTACTTACCACGGGACGTGACAGCAATATGACATTTCAATTGGACGTGTCACATCAAGATAATTGGCGCCTCGCAGCAAGTGCGTTCACCGACTCTGCCAGTGGGAGAGATCGTTCCCAGTCATAACAACATATCGACGTTTTACGGCACAAGGGCATCAAGTGGCAGTCTCATGTGAGCACTGAGCAATCTCATGTGACAGAATACAGCTCGGGTAACTCCGGCACCGTTGCTGCTTTAAAAACCACGCCGTCTGGCCGTACTCCATCTGCGTAAACTGCGCAAAATGAGCGCGAACTATGTCTCAAAACTCTGGGAAAGTCGTGCTTCCGAGCTTGATACTGATTTGAGGCGAACAAATGCTCTCGTCGCTGTGGGAGGAGCTGCACTTGTTCGTTGCTTTCTCTGCTCTGGTGTTAGCGGCTGACCCAGATGCGTCTACGCAGGTATGCCATCTCATATTCAAGAAATGGGAGCCCACATACGTCCCAGCTGTAGCTCTTCTACTCCTTCTGCTTCCCTTGAGTCTCTCCGCGCTCCTCATCCCCCACTATGGGCCACTCCTTGCACCGCTCTTTGCTCTGGCGACGTATCACACTGTCCTGCTGACATCCATCTCGCTATATCGCATCCTTCCATGGCACCCTCTCTACAACTATCCGGGGCCGTTTCTGGCAAGACTTTCCAAGTGGTGGATTGTCTGGAAGGGACGCAATGGTAGACAGCACTTCTATATGCAAGAGCTGCACAACCTGTATGGTGACATCGTGCGCATTGGACCTAATGAGGTTTCCATTCGCGACGTCGGCGCCGTGGAACCGCTGATGGGCACTCAGGGCCTGCCGAGGGGTCCTTGTAAGCGCTATTCCCACGTACTAACATTGTAGTTCTCGTCATACTCACCACCCTTGTTAAAGCTGCGGGGGGTCAGGCTCTAGAGCCGCCTGTCTCGGGACTTATCATAATCAGAGACCCGGTTGAGCATGCCCGTCGCCGTCGCCCTTGGGCTCGTGCATTCAGCACAGCGGCGTTGAAGGAGTATGAGCCGGTCGTCGTCAAACGCGCCACGCAACTCTGTGAGCAGCTAGCAGTCCAGAAGGGCAGCATCGATCTGGCAATGTGGCTCAGCTTGTTCTCGTACGACGTCATGGGAGACATTGTGTAGGTGCCCCATTTCCGCTTGTCATGCGTGCTGATCCCAGTATAGGTTTGGTGGAGGAAGCGACCTGATTGTGAACGGCGACAGCGATGGGGTATGGTCCATGCTGCAGTCCGCCTCGGGGTACGTTCATGCCCTCCATACCCTCGCTTACTCTGACGACTGTGCAGAGGTCAAATGGCATATTATCACGCCCCGTGGCTGGCTCATTATGCTAAGCGTCTTCCTATGGCGCCGATGATCAAGAAGCTGCGTGACTTTGCGACCGATCGCGCTGCATTCCGTTATAAGAACGGCGCGAAGACGAAGGATTTATTCTACTACCTGGTAGGCTTGTCAATATCGACGAGCCCAACACATGATGACCATGAGTTCTCAGAGTAATGAAGACGAAGCAGAAAAGACGTCTCCAGACATGGGTCAAGTCATCTCGGAGGGCATGCTGGCGACTGTTGCAGCCTCGGATACCACCGCAACCGTTTTGGGCAACACCTTTTGGAACATCTTGCGCTATCCGCACTACTATAAGCGGCTCCAGGCTGAAGTCGACAAGTACTACCCTGCAGGCGAAAACGCTTTTGACACCAAGAACCATAGCAAGATGGTCTTCTTGGATGCTGTCCTGTGTGTCTCGTATCCATTCGCTGTGCGCCGCATGTCTAATTCTTGTGCAGTAACGAGGCCTTGCGATTGTATCCTGTCATCCCAAGCGGCAGTCAACGGGCTCCCATCCCTGGCAAAGGAGACAGACTTGTTGGCCCTTAGTACGTTTACTCTCAATGCTGAGACGTTACAGCTCCCTCACTCCGCTATAGCCTCATCCCAGACGGCACGCAGGCGCGTGTGCACTTTTGGTCGCTGCAGCGCGACCCGCGATACTTCTCCCAGCCGGAAACGTACTGGCCCGAGCGGTGGCTCATTGCTGAGGGCCTCGAACGTGCACCCGAGGGCGAGTTGTTCGCGCACGACGCGAACGCGTTCATACCGTTCTCGTTCGGCCCAGAGAACTGTGTCGGCAAGAACCTCGCACAGATGGAGATGCGCATGGTGTGCTGCTACCTGGTGCAGAACCTCGAGTTCGAGCTCGAGAAGGGGTGGGATCCCGCTGGACGCGAGCGCGCTGTCGAGGATCAGTTCGTCATGCGAGTGAGGGATCCTGTTCCTGTGGTCGTGCGCCGCAGGACGTAGAGTGCCAAATGCCGCGCGTGAGTGTAGAGTTGGCTCGGAGCTGTGGGCTGCTGCCTGATGATTACGATCAACAGTATCGCGCCGAAGCAAGCTGCTCCTGCCCGTCCTCATTCTCGGAGAGCGTTGCCCTGATTCATATGTAGACATGTCGGCATGCTCATTTGTCAATTAAGCCCATCCGTAAGTTAGTGGAAAATACTTGAGGCGACCCTGCATGTCAAGCTCAGGCTTGGCGAGACGTAATATCGTAGGAGTACCCTGGCCCAGCTTCCCTGTCACTAGATGCATCCATATGTTCGCAGGGAATATTCACTGCGGCCCGCGGCGGAAGATCAAGACTCCCATGACTCTCTAATTTTTCATGACGCAAGGGTGGATTGATGGTCTGGGTAGACACGTTGTATAGTGGGCCCGTGTGACGATGTACATGGTGTGTTCCCCTTCGCTATAGCTAACCGCAGTCTTACCGGGATGTTTCAGGGCTTAATCGCAGGTCTCCTCCTCCTGGTGTACTTTATCTGCAGAGCATTCTGGAAACAGCACAGACGACTCGCCCCGTTTCCTCCAGGTCCACCTGCGGATCCATTGATCGGAAATGTCCGGTCCTTTCCTGCGCACGACGCGCCCCTAGGTCTCATGGAATTGGCCAAGAAATATGGTGTGTTTCTCACGTACGTTCCCTAGCTTACAGCTTATCGGGTATGATAGGCGATGTAATGTACTTCAACATCCTAGGAAAACATCTTGTAGTTCTGAGCAGCCAAGAAGCTGCGTCAGACCTACTGGAGAAGCGGAGTGCAATATATAGTAGTCGTCCACGCTCCATTGTCCATGAGATGTATGTCTTACGTTGCATTCAAGGATATACGACTATGCTCACAGTACTTGTAACAGGATTGGATGGGATGACATGCTTGGATTTCTGCCGTACGGGGAAGACTTTATCAAGCAGCGCAAGTTCTTTCAGCAGGCCTTCTCGAGACAAGGCTGTGGTGCATTTCGCCCGAGTCAGCTGTCTCAGGCTCGTATACTCCTGAAGAAGGTTCTGCAAAACCCCGAGCGTTACGAGGATCATATACGACAGTATGGTTTTAGCAGCGCTCTTGGGTCCAGGAATTCAACCTTTCATCACAGGTTTTCCGCTGCAGTCATCATGGAGATAACATATGGACACAGAGTCTCATCGGATGATGACCCTTACATCGGCATGGCAGAGGGAATGAGCAGAATTATCGTGGAGTCGGGTCATTCTCTGTCTATCATTGACTTCTTCCCCTCACGTGCGTATATGTTCATTATGGTCTGGACGGCTCACTGACAGTCTGCAGTCAGATACTTGCCGAGCTGGTTTCCGGGGAATTGGTTAGGCCGCTTCGCGAAGGGTGCGCTGTCCTCCATATTATTCGTCCTTCTGCTCTCCATGAACATTCTGCTAGATGCAGCACCGTTTCTTAAGAATATTCGGGACGTGCCGTTCGAGCAAGTGCGTCAACAGATGGTACATCATGTCTCCTTAGTTTGTTGTCCTGCGCGGTTGATGATAAATGCGTAGGTCACTGGAACTGCCACCCCAAGCTTCACGTCGAAGCAGATTGAGGAACTAGAACAAAATGGGGGAGCAAGCCCTGAAGATTTGCAGATCTTGAAGGCTGCCGCGTTGCAGATGTACGCGGCTGGAGCAGATACAGTCCGTATCTCCACTATTCGTACTTCATTCCGGCACTAACCTCAGCTGTAGACATGGTCAACACTCATGAATATCGTTGCGATGCTGTTTATATACCCTAACGTCCAGCGTCAGGTGCAGGACGAGCTGGACAGTGTTATCGGCGGAAAGAGGCTACCCGACTTCGATGACCGCGAGCCACTTCCTTATCTGGAGGCCGTCATACATGAGACGATGAGATGGCATCCGACTACCCCGTTCAGTACGCTTGATTTAATTATCGCCCTTGTCAGGATAACCGTATTATGATTCACTGTAGATTTACCGCATAGTAGTACCACGGACGATATCTATCGTGGCATGTACATCCCCAAGGGCACTACTGTCCTTGCCAACAGCACGTATGTCTTCTAGCCCGGAGCTCGTCTTCATGGACACAACTCACCGTGAATGTTTGTTCTTCCCACAGCGCAATGTCTATGAACGATAAAGTGTATAGCAATCCTACTGTGTTCCGGCCGGAACGTTTCCTCTCTCCTGAGTCAGAGCCACTGCCAGTAGGCATCGGCTTTGGCTGGGGACGCAGGTATGCGCTCTCGCACCATCTCTCTCAAGGACCGCGAGAGTTGATTGATGATTTGTCAGAATATGCCCGGGACGACTTCTGGCCGACGCCAGCGTTTGGATCGTCGCTGCCTCGTTCCTCACCGTCTTCGAGGTCGTACCCGCGAAAGATGCCAAGGGACTAGACATCAACCCGGAGATTAAGTGGCTCTCTGGTATTACAAGGTCAGTATCCCGCTGTTGCTGATGTTTGAGGATGGGTGCTCAGTTCTCAGCTGTGGACAGTCATCCCGCGCCGTTCCCATGCGTGATACGCCCGCGTTCAGGCCATGCGTCGCAGCTGGTCACTCGGCTCTGATCGTGCGTCAGATGAGCAACATGTACAATGTTCATACGCTCGCATGCCGAGTCATGATATCTTCTCGCACTTCCTATAAGCATTTTGCAACGATGAGTAGTGCACCAGGGGTCTCGACCGTACATTTCAGACAGGGCATCAGTGCCGCATCACTACACGTCTCTGTTTTCGGAGAGGGCTAGTCTCGACTGGTAGACGTTAGTCCGTTATGCCATCTGATTTTACTGAACATGGTATCCTTCCTGAATAGGCTAGCCAATGATTGGTACGCGGAGCGAATTGATTGTGTGTATGCGATGGTTCGTCTCGACCTGCCCAGCAAGGTCGCAGGGCTTCACGTGATGTCCACCTGGAGGAGTCTGAATAATGTCTTCGCTTGTCTTTGCCAGCCACATCTGCAGACGCGTTCCTTGCCTATGCCTCCAAGGTCAACCGGCAAATGTCTGTAACAGTATTAGTCGAGCTTAACTGAGCTAACGTTGTTCTCTAGACCCGTCTTCGTTCTAGGGCACGTCCGCTTGAATCGGCCGGGCGGCGAGCGCATCCCCCTAGATCGAAGCAGAGCTGCAAGTTCTATGTCGATATCTGATCCCGTTCAATTAGCGAGCTATACGCGTGTTTCCACCCTTTCCCACGTTGACCCTCGACCCTCCTCACATCGTTTCCTTTGGACCGATGATCGGCGTCGTGCCGTCTGAATCAGCGTTGTGCCGGTCAGTGACTGGTCAGTGACTGGTCAATGACTGGTCAATGACCGAGTCAGACATGACCGTGACTGGCCGGTTTTCCGGGTGCCACCTTGGCAGCCAACCATATCGCAGGGCGCCATCGGGCCCTGCCATTCCATTGGGGTCTGTCCCCCCAAGCGCTCGACCCCGGCATTTCGCTTGCGTGGGATCACGAAACCGCCCAGTCATTGACTGTAACTCGGTCATTGACCCATCAGTGACCAGCTGTCAGTCAATGACCGTGACTGGGATGACTCGGTCATTGACTGCCCAACGCTGGTCTGAATCGGTACACGGTGGCCCACTGGCCGCAAAGTTTCAGTCTCTAACCACAGAGCCGCTTGCCATCGGAGGTATACATAACTGGCCTAGAAGGAATAATCGGGATCCCGCCCCGGCTTCCTGCCACTACGGATTCATTTATTGACAGAACGAATGAAGACACCCCATCACTACCATCTAACCTTTCATGTAGGGAGCAGACTGGCGATGTTGGTGGAGACCTTATAAAGCGGTGTGCTCCTCTTTTCTGGGTTTCTATCCGCGGTCTGGGCCGGCATGTCGTTGTTTTACACTAGTGGCTCAGTCGCAGCCCTCCTCTTCCTGGTATTCCTCGCCTGCAGAGCACTCTGGGAACCAACGCAGACGACCCGCCCCGGTTCCCT